TATCACTGTAGATAACTTAAACCCAAATAGTGGTTTGCTCCTTTATAAAGTGCTTTCACGGTGTTCGTATTTAAACCTCATAGCCAGCTCTGAAATAGATGGGACATGGTGTATTCCCATTTTATTTTTTGGTTTTTGTGGGGTTTTTTGTCTGAGTACTTTTATTTTTATTTCTTTTATTGAATTACAGTTGATTTATAATCTTATATTAGTTTCAGGTGTACAGCATAGTGATTCAATATTTTCATAGATATTTTCAATATTTCACAGATTATACTCCATTTAAAGTTATTACAAAATATTGGCAGTATTTCCCTGTGCTGTGCCCTATATTCTTGTTGCTCATTTACTTTTACAAAGCAGTTTGTGTTTCTTAGCCCCATACCCCTATGTTGCCCCTCTTCCCTCCTCACTCCCCTCTGTTAACCACCAGTTTGTTCTCTGTATCTGTGAGTATGTTTCTGTTTCATTATATGCATTCGTCTTATTTTTTTAATTCTACATGTAAGTGATAACATGGAGTAATTGTCTGACTTATTTCACTAAACATAATACCCTCTAGGTCCATCCATGTTGCTGCAAATGACAGAATTTAATTCCTTTTTATGACTGAATAGTATTCCATTGTGTGTTTATACCACATCTTCTTTATCCATTGATCTGTCTTGATGGAGACTTAGAGTGCTTCCATTATCTTGACTATTATACACAGTGCTTCTATGAACATTGGGATGCATATATCTTTTGAATTAGTATTTTCATTTTCTTTGGATATACACCCACAAGTGAAATAGCTGGATCATATGGTAAGTCTATTTTTAGTTTTTTGAGGAACCTCCATATTGTTTTCCATAGTGGCTGCACCAGTTTACAGTGTACTAGGGTTCCTTTTCCTCCACATTCCCGACAACATTTGTTATTTGTACTTTTTGATGATACCCATTTTGACAAGTTATTTCATTGTGATAATTAGCGATGTAGAGCAGTGTTCACATGTGCCTGTTGGCCATCCATATATATTCTTTGGAAAAATATCTATTCGGGTTTTCTGACCATTCCTTCATTGGATTGCCTAAGTTTTTTTTGGTATTGAGTTGTATGAACTGTTTATATGTTTTGGATATTAACCCCTTATCAGCCATATTGTTTGCAAATATTTTCTCCTATCAGTAGGTTGCCCTTTTGTTTTGTCAATGTTTTCCTTTGCCATGTAGAAGCTTTTTAATTTGATGTACTTTGACTTGTTTATTTTTGTTTTTGTACTTTTGCTTTCACTGTCAGGCCCGAAAAAATCATTGCCAAGATGTCAAGGAGCTTATGCCTGTGTTTTCTTCTTGGAGTTTTACAATTTCAGTAAACTTTTTGAGTCTTTAATATATTTTTAGTTAATTTTTGTGTATTGTGTAAAATATTGGATCAGTTTAATTCTTTTCATGTGGCTGTCCAGCTTACCGAACACCATTTTTTGATGAGACTGTTCTTTTCCCATTTTAAATTTTTGGCTTCTTTGTCATAAATTAATTGATCATATAGGTGTTAGTTTATTTCTGGGCTCATTGTTCTGATCCACTGATCTATGTGTGTCTGCTTTTATGCCAGTGCCACACTATTATAATTACTATACCTTTGTAATATAGGTGTGTGATGCCTTCAGCTTTATTCTTCTTTCTCTAGACTGCTTTGGCTATTCGAAGTCTTTTTTGGTTTCATGTCGATTTTAGAATTATTTTAGAATTGTTTATATTTCTGTGAAAAATACCATTGGATGTTTGATAGGGATTGCATTGAATCTGTAGATTTCTTTGAGTAGCATAGACATTTTAACAGTATTAATTCTTCCAATACATGGGTCCTGAATATCTTTCTAGTTATTTGCGTCTTCTTCAGTTTCATTTATTAATGTCTTGTGGTTTTCAACGTATAGATCTTTTATCTCCCTGTTTAAATTTATTCTGAGGTATTTTCTTCTTTTTGATGCAATTGTAATTGAAATTGTTTTTTAAATTTCTCTTTCTGATAGTGCATTCTTAGTGTAAAGAAACAAAACAGATTTTTATGTATTGACTTTATAATCTGTTAGTTTACTGAATTTGTTTTTTAGTTCTAACAGTCTTTTAATAGAGTTTAGAGTTATCTATATATAATATCATGTCATCTGCAAATAGTGACAGTTTTACTTCATCTTTTCCAATTTGGATGCCTTTTTAATGTTGAAGAATATTACCTTCATAACCTCTTCACTGAGATTTTTTACCGTAGATGGATGCTTACAGACCAAAAAAATTTTTAATGAATTTTATTTGTACTTGGCATTCTGAAATATTGGGGCAATTATAAAACAATCTTGCTTTTTTCCCCCACTCTCACCGTTACAAACTTGATATATGTAAAATAGGACTCCACACCTCTTCTACTTCTTAATTACTTTAGTCAAATGCCATCGTACCTGGGGGTTAGGAGAGACTGCATGTTCCAGTCCTTTAATCACATGCTTGTCCCCACTGGCAACCAGCCCCTATCCTTAGGTGCTTTCCCAAAGTCACCTTATTAAATAGCACATATACACATTTATCACTCTCAGCACTTAATAAATTCACAGAGTTTTTAGAACTGTGAGCCAGGAACCTTGGAGGAAGACTAAATGTGTATAAGAAGTATATTTTGGTCATCTGAATGACAATATAGATACAAATTTTTGTAAATCACAATGTCACAGGAAGAAACTCTTCCAGGCTCATTTTATGAGTCCAACATTACCCTGATACTAAAACCAGATAAAGAAACCACAAGAAAAGAAAATTACAGGCCAATATTCCTGATGAACACAGGTGCAAAAATCCTCAAAAAAATAGTAGCAAACTGAATTCAACAGTACATTAGAAGGATCATACACCATGATCAAGTAGGATTTATTCTAGTGATGCAGAAATTGTTCCACATTCACAAATCAATCAGTGTGATACATCACGTTAACAAAATGAAGGGTAAAAATCACATGATCATCTCAATAGGCGTAGAAAAAGCATTTAACAAAATTTAAGACCCATTTACGTTAAAGCTTTCAATAAAGTGGATACAGAGGGAACATACCTCTGCACAGTAATTGCCACATACGGCAGCAGCACAGCTCACATCATATTTAACAACGAAAAGCTGAAAGCTTTTCCTGTATCATCAGCAGAGACAAGGACGCCACTAAAAGAGCTCCTGGACCCAGTTCCAGTGTGCTTGTGTGCCTGTGTGAAGGCTTCCCAACACCAGCGTATGATTCCCAGACACCAGGAGGGTACCCAAGAAATCAACTTAATTCTGACACTGTTTACCCAGAGATAAAATTCAGATTCCAAGGGTAAAGGGCTCAGTCCACCAAGAGCACCCTTCTCTTCAGACACCAGTTACACGCCCAGGTTGTTGCCAGTGCTTCTGACCAACCAGCTACAAACTGGAGGTTCCAACAACCCCCTCCAACTCAGGAAGCCAATCAAAGTCCAGGTTGCTACATGTACTTCTGACCAACCAGCTGTAAGTCAGAGGTTCCCATCCCCCTCTCCTTGGCTTTAATTGAATAAAATAGCTCACGAAACTCAAGAAAAAACCATTTACTCACTAGATTTACAGCTTACTACAAAGGACGTTAAAGGCTACAAATCAAGAGCCAGATGAAGAGATCAAAAACTACAAGATATCACTTTACACCTATCAGAATGGCTATTACTGAAAAGACAAAGTTAATAAGTGCTGGCAAGGATATGGAGAAAAGGGAGCACTTACGCACTGTTGGTGGAATGCAAATTGGTTCAACCACCATGGTAAATAGTATGAAGTTTTGAAAACTTAAAAATACAACTACCACTTGATCCAATAATTCTACTTCTGAGTATTTATCCAAAGCAAATGAAAATACTAATTTGAAAAGATACATGGACTCCCACGTTGACTGCAACATTTACAATAACAAAGATATGAAAACCACCTAAGTATTCGTGGATAGCTGAATGGATAAAGAGAATGTGATATATATATTCAACGGAATATTATTCAGCCTTAAAAAGAATGAAATCTTGCATCTGTGAAAAAATGAGGGCGTTACGCTAAGTGAAATAAGTCAGAGAAAAACAAATGCCGTATGATTTTACTTACATGTGGAATCTAAAAACAAAAACAAATAAAACAAATAAACCAATGGAAAAACTGAGCTCATGGGTACTAGGTATTGATGAGTGGTGCTGGAGTCTGGAGGTGGAATGGGGGCTTGGGCAAAATGTGTGAAGAGGATTAAAAAGTATAAATTTCCAGCTAAAAAAAAAAAGGTCACTGAGATGAAATGTACAGCAGGTAACTCTAGTTAATAATACTGTACTGTATATTTGAAAGTTGCTTGGAGAGTAGATCTTAAAAGACCTAATCACAAGAAAAAAATTTTGTAGCACTATATGGTGGTGGGTGTTTAAACAACACAGCAACAAGGTATTACCTTAAAATATTTTTACTTTAATTATTTATCTCTTTATTTTGATCTTCAAGTGTTCATGTTTTTGTGAAAATTTAAAATGTTTCTTCTAGTCAACAGATTTTTAACTACACTGTTTGAAATTAAAAACTTAAGTATCATATTTCAAATTCTTGTGATTGAATGTTTCCCAAACTATCTGTATGAGCAAAATCATGAAAATGTTATTAGATCTGGAGATCATTACTAAAGAGGTGTCTATAGTTCTCAGCATGTATTGTCTGCATCATATATATTCTTATTTTAAAATAATTATTATTGGGTTCAAAGGTGATATACTTTAAAGATTACAAGTTCAGAATACACGTAAGGATAAGGCAGTTAAACACCAAATCTTTCCCGTACTATCTCTAAATTTTATAGTTTTAAAAAACATTTTATTGCGCTTCTTGCCAATCTTTGTTCTATAAAAACCTTTATTCAGCATCAAAGCATAGTGTGTGTTGGTGTGTGTGTATGTGTCACAATTAGATTCTAATTCATCTTTATGACTTGTTTGGTTTATTACATGTGCTAGATAGACATCTTGTAGAAGAACATGCATTTCATCCTTTTTACTGTACTTTTCTATTAATAGATAAGCAAAAGTAATAACTACTAGATCTTATTACTAGCATAGGTATGACACAGTGCTTTTTACGTGTTTGTGATGTTGTTTCACAGATTCAGACACGCATTTTTTTTTTCATTTCCTCTGAAATAGAGTCTCAGAAAACTTTAAGAAAGTTGGGAGAATGATGGATGGAAGGAGCACTGGAGTGATTCCACCTGATTTCTCACAAATTCTGATTTATGAATAAAAGGAGTTAAACAATACTTGATCAACTGAGAAGAATTGGTTCAACAATGAACAATTCTGAATACATCTGCATATTTCAGTTTTATGGCTGCATTTTAACTGCTGTTTTATCCACAAGTAGGATACGCCATTTGTCCTTCCCGACAGGTTGCTCGAAATGTATGGGCAGGTGTCACTCTACGATATCCATGCTTACACTGAAATTCAACACTCTCGTTGGTTTTAGAATAAAGTTTTTTCTCATGTCTCCATCTTAATTCTATATTATGTATTTTCATAATTTCTTCTGAAATTACACATGCCTCTGAAGTTTAAAAAAAAGTAAGACATTAAATAGTATACAAATATTTTCCGTAGAATTTCAGACTTTCAAATACAATGTTCTACACTGGACAGGACTTCATCCTCTAAATCTTTTCCAAACCAACTCACTGAAAATCCATTATGGTAGATACCATCATTTTAAACAGTTAATGCTGTAAAATGAGGTACTATTTAATGTAAAAATTAACTGCTATACTTAAAGAATCATAATGTCAGCGATCATATGAAAAGCTTTTATTACGCACTCTTTTCTTGCTATTCTTGCTTGAAACAATAATTGTCAAACTTTATTTCTGCTCATACTAATATCCGTTAGTCAACCTACAGAACGACTGTTTGTTAGTTCATGGAAATTCTACAAGAAACAGCTAAACATCATATTCATTGCACTCATTTCCAAGGATCCATTAGAAGATTAAAATACTCACCTAAGCATTTGGGAGGTTCTGACCACTCTCCATTCCTACATATTACAGTCCTGTTTCCGTCCAGTTCATAGTAGGATTGGCACTGGTACTCAACGGTCGAGCCCGGAGGGTACACTGGCAATGGGAACGAGGTAATGTCTCCGTTGTCTATAGGTGGAGGAGGCCCACATTTTCCTTGAGAGTCTAAGGAATATGTTGTTAGATTTATTGAAGCACCAAAGAAAAGCCTCCACAGTTTAAAATAAAGAAAGCAGCATAGTGTGCAGTATTAAAGCTTGTGATATCTAATAACATGAAAGTTACTGAAGAAGTAATCATCACTAAACTGAAGCATATTTTAAAGCCAGTCCTTTCACCCCACATGAAAGGACACATAATACATTAACAAATATGTCTTCTTTGTATTCTTCCAGTATTAAAAAATGTTTTCTTAGTGAATATACGCTGTGCAGATGGGTAGGTAAGATAAACAAAAAATTCTGTGTCCTTGTATAGAACGTACAGCAGTGCCTACTGAAGCCCTAGTCATTTTTAATGATTTTCATTTTTATTAGAAAGGAAACATCAGATCCTTTAATAAAAGTCAAGAATTACAAACGTGAATAGTGGGAAAGGGAATGCTGGCTTCTTTTTCTGGACAAGGTGAGGTGGAAATGTTCTGCTCATTGCTTCTGCTAAGTATTCCTTCTGCTAAGTAAACACCCTGAACATATGATGAACACCAACAGAGGAGACTGTGGAGGATGGAGAGAAGTCAGTCTGGTTGGAGACCTTGGGATTCAAGGAAGGACACTGTGTTTCCACTTCGCCCCCTGTGTGTCCTGGACTGGGCACTGAGACTGCAACCCAGGAATATTACCCAGTCAGACAAAAAAAAGTGCTCAAGTAATGCTCATATCTTTCTCTTTAAGTGAAGCTGCCTAGCAAGACAGAAACACCTTTTCCAACCTGACTCACTACAGAAATATACCATAGAAGGCAGCTGACAGCCCTTCCCCTGCCTTGATCTGCAGAGGCCAAGTAAGGAGCCTGGACTTCCACCCCCAGGCTGAGGGAACAAGACGCCTCTCTCCGTTCTACTGTCAGTGGAGGCCAAGTGGGAAGCCCAGACTTGCACCCTGCATGGCCATAATGGAGGCCTGATAAATAAAAGATTTCAATAAAGTCCTTAGTCTCAAACGGCAATACTCCAAACGCTCAGGATACAATTGAAAATCACTCAACATAGCAAGGACCAGAAAAGCCTCAAAACAAAAAGGAGAATCGACAGAAGACAACACTGCGATGACACAAATATTGAAATTACTGGACAACAGTTTTTAAAAATCCTACTGAATTTATAGAACTAAAAACCAGAGTAACAGATTTTTTTCTTAAAAAACTAACTGGTTGAACTCTACAATATACTGCAGCTGACAGAAGGATAAGTTAACTTGAATATAAACTAATTTTGAAAATAGACTGAAAAAAATGGACAGAGCTTCGTGGACCTCTGGGAAGACAGCAAAAGATTGAAAAGAAAGGGGTTGGAGATCAAAAAAAGTTTAAAATTATGGTTAAAAATTTCCCACATAGGGCATAAGGCATAAATCTACATACTGAAATATCTGAGTGAATTCCAAAGAAAATAAATGCAAAGAAACTTTCATCAAAATACATAAGACATACCAGATCAAACTGCTGGAATCTAAAGAAGAAGAAAAAAAGTCTCAAAAGCAGCTAGATAGATACTATGCAATTCCTATATGGGAAAATGTTCAAACACCAGCAGGGTTCTCATCCATGGCCACAGAGCCAAAAAGAAGTCACAGCATTTTCCCAAGGCTGGAAGAAAAGAGCTGTCAACCTCAAATTCTGTATCCAGTGATGCTATCCTTTAGGATAAAGGGGAGAAATAAAGACATTCCCAGACACAGGAAGACAGAGAATTTGTCTCCAGCAGACCTCTCCTTAAAGAATTGCTAAAGGAAATCTTCAAGTAGAAAGGAAAATATAACAGAAAAGGGATTGAGAATTTAGTAAAAAGACAATGCAATTGACTTTAAAAATAGGGGTAAATATAAGACTATCTTTTCTCTAATGAGTTTGCTAAATTACGTTTGTGCAAAATTGTATCACTTCATATGGTGCTCAATGTATGTGGAGGAATCACTTAAAATATTTATGTTACAAACGTGAGGAGATTAAATGGGTCTAATGGAAGTAAGATTTCCACATTCCACTTGAAGTGGTAAAATGTCTATACCAGTAGGGTGCGATAAGCCTGTATGTATGTGTTAAAACCCAGAACAACCACTAATAAAACAATGCAAAGAGATATGCTCAGAAGTAACACAGAATATCAAAATTAAACTACTTCATCATGTTGAAAAATCCACAGGAAGGACAAGAAAGGAAACGGGGATAAGAAACAGGAACACACACAAAACAAGCACTAAAATTTTTGGCTGCCATGGTCCCTAATGTGCTAATAGTTACTTGAAATTAAATGGTCTAAATATAGCAGCTAAAAGCTGAAAATGTCGGGGTGGACACGTGAACAAGACCCAACTATATGCTGTCGACAAGAAATTCATTTCAAACATGAAAACATACGTGGGGTCAAGTGAAAAATTGGAAAAAATACATCCCAGGCAAAAGTTCCTTTGAAAACCACAAGTGGCTGATCTGTTGTTTTCTTGGCTCCCCTTACTTCCTGAACTCTAAACACTGACGGGTCCCAGGACCAAGTTCCCAGACTCTATTTAATGTGCACACTAAGTCCTTGAATAAGCTCAGCCAGTAACATGCCTTTACATACAATCCATATGCTGAAGATGCCCAAATTATATCACGTCCTACGTGAGGCCCCAGGTCCCTATTCCATGTCTCACAGTGGAATTTCGTGTCAAACTGGAATATGTTGGGGTGTCAGAGGTACGTCTGGTATCTTTAACCCATTTATTCTTCAGGA